GACTTCTTACCAATGAACATACAATGATTCATAAGGTGTTAAAAGCGCGATACTTCCCAAAGTGTAATTTCTTGGCAGCGGATAAAGGAAGAGCTTCTTCTTATATTTGGAGGTCTTTGATTTGGGGTCGTGAGTTGCTCTTGAGTGGGTTGAGGAAGGGGATTGGAGATGGACAAGAAACACTAGTCTATGGTGATGCTTGGATTCCTAGCCCTAACTCTTTCCGCCCTATTTCCCCTCAAGTATTGGATCAAGAAACTAAAGTAAGTGACTTTATTTTTCCTGTTGGGAATTGGAATGTTGATTTACTAAATTTGTGTTTTCAGGAGGAGGATGTTAAGGCTATTACTTCCATTCCTTTGAGTGTTAATTTTCACAAAGATAGATGGATTTGGCATTATACTACAAATGGAACTTATTCTGTGAAGAGTGGTTATAGGCTGGAGATGTCTAAGAAAAAGGAATGCAGTGGGGTTGTTGCATCTTCTTCGGAACCAAGAATACGATGTGCTTTCTGGAGAAAAGTTTGGTCCCAAGAGGTACCACAAAAACTCTTATATTTTAATTGGAGAGCTATTAAAAATTATCTTCCTTGTAGATCTAATCTGTTGAAAAGAAAGATAATTTCTGATGATGCTTGCCCTATGTGTAATGTGAATTCTGAGACTGTAATTCATGCTTTGTTGAGCTGTCCTAATGCCCAAAAAGTTTGGAAAAAAGTGTTGTTCAGGGAGGTCTTTACAGGGTTACATTTTTCCAACTATGGGGATCTGTTTGAAATTGCCACTATGTATTTTTCGAAGTATGAAATGCACTTGTTTTTATATATCTGCTGGAATCTGTGGCAAAACAGAAATAAAGCTGTTATTGAAGGTCGCTCTAGTGCACAAAATGTGATTTTCAACAAAGCTCTTTTTTTGGCTGATGAATATGAAAGTCTTGTGAAAGGGGAACCTAAGTTAATTGTAGAGAAACCAACCAAATGGTCTCATCCTCCTGTTGGTAGATATAAACTGAATCTTGATTCTGCTTTTATTCCCGAAACAGGTGTGAGTGGAATTGGTGCTGTTGTTAGAAATGACAAAGGGGAAGTGATGTCGGCTATGGCCCTTCCTCTTGCTCGGGATGCTGGCTTTTCTCCTTTCTTAATGGAGTCTGATTCACAAGGGGTGGTAAATGATGTAAAGAAGGATGAGGAAGAGTCGTGGGCATCAGACGGACATTTACTTCTTTCGGCCCCTTAGATTTACAATTAAGACTTTCCAGCATTACTACTCTTATGAGGCACAAGGTCCACTTTTAAAAGAATTTTAACATGAAATCACTGCCTTTATCAATAAATGTCACGCATTTCAGTCATCTGGAAGCTAAGTGATGAATCATCTACAGGCCTATTTCTCTATAACTAATTAAGCTACACAGTACTAATAAAATGAAAACAGCGGAATCAAACGAAGAAGGTAATAAAGTATTGACCATCAGAGCAATATGCAACAAACCTTTGAAAGGGTTGGTGCAAATTGTTTCACAAGATCATCTACATGGTTTGAACGATCCCCCTGCAAGAAACCAAAGCATCACTAATTTATCTTCATCAATGTGTTTCTGTAAACAGATCTAAAAACAAAGAAATTTTAGAGTCATATAGTGAGTGAGTGTAAGTTACCCGGAGAGTGAAAGCCATTGTGAAGGCCGAGAAGGAAGAGAAGAGGAACGAGCATGGAAAGAAAAACCAGACCCAAAACTGCA